ATATATATATATATAGCGGCAAACGGCGAAACGCGACAAAAGCTTAAGCAGTTGATGATAAGCTTGTTTTCCCGCTGTCTCCACACGGTGATGGAGGTGACAAGGGTGATGCTGGCAATCATGGCCGTAATCATGATGCTGCTGCTGCTGCAGCAGCAGCANNGCGGTGGTGGCGGCGGCGGCGGCGGCTGTGCTGCTGTTGCTGCTTCTGGTGGTCATGGACGCGGCGATGCTTTTAGATCCCTGACCCTCAACCCAAGGTTTGTTCCCAATGTTGATACTCTTCCGCGTCACCGCGGGAATCCCGAGCCCGAAAAGTAACCTTAGTGGTTCAGGGCTTACGGCCTTCAAGATCTGAACTTCGGATCAGTTTGGTTTATAGGCGTTCTGGTGAGGCGATGCTTCAGCTACGGCTTGGCAAGAGCAAGCTCTTGCAATGGCGAGAGCTTTGCCGGGACGAGAAGGAAGCTTATAGCCTCAACAAGGCTGTCGCTGTGCGATCGTAGCCTGGCGAAGTGGACCTCAACGGTTTCGGGGACTCAGCCCCCAGCTTTTAAACCACTCCGCAATCTGATCCATGTAGACCTGTCGCTGCGGCAGGCCGATGCACTACGCAGTGGGTTCCTGCAAGCTGGGTTAGCCGCCACTTCCTCGACCCCGTAGTGCTCTTTCATCTCCTCACAGCCGCTGATTTTGCCTTGGCCCACAACCGACAAGGCTGTCCACTAAAGCCCTGTCCTAACTCTGACGAAGTCTTCCTGTCACAATGATGAATTAGCAATTCACTGCATGCTCCCGTCGATGTCTGCGCAACTACAGTCAGCATCGCCTCTGCATGAAAGCTAAGTCTGCCCATCTTGTAGCTATAACCCCACACATGAGTAGTAGATGAGCACGAGATGGGAGCGCTGCACTCCCCGCTGAGAAGCGAGCCCATCCAAAGCTCATACCTGACCAGAAACCACAGGACCACGTAGGCATTTGGCCTACCACTCCTCCAAGGTCTTCTTGACGGCTAATCTTCAAAGAGGTTCCAGATCCATGAATGTAGGAGTGGGCACGAGCTTACTTGTGAAGCAATCTAGGGAATCCAAGGACTTGACGTTGTGCTACCCTAAACCCTAAACCCTNNACCGGCTTTGGCTGCATGAACACCGTGGCTGTTGCTCGGCTTGGACTCAGATCTGCATCAAATGCCTCGACTAAACTGTGTACTCTTTCTTAGTGTTTGTTGTGCCATGAGAAAGACAAGAACATCTAGAGGGTCATGGCGTCATGGCACATTAAACACAGGATCACACGTGCCGTCGGACAAAGAAAGGCTGTTGGAGCTTCAAAGTGACACCCCCACATCCTGACGAATATGGGGCAAGCAATGCTCAAGCGTGGCATCAGAGGCGTCCCTGCAAGCTCTCTCTCTCTCTCTCT